CTGCAGACCAGAGAGTCCCAGGTTCGGTTCCCGCTAGGGGCACGTACCTAAAAAAACAAAAAATATTTGCTTTGTATATTTAGGTGCTTCTATATTACATACATAAATGTTTACAAAGATTATATTCTCATCTGGAATGATCCCTTTATTTTTATGTAATGTCCTTCTTTGTCTTTTTTTTTAGAGAGAGAAGAAGGGAGAGAAAAATAGAAACATCAATGTGAGAAAGAAACATCATTCTGCTGCCTCCTGCACACTCCCCACTGGGGATTGAGCCCACAACACGGGCATATGCCCTGACCAGGAATCAAACTGGGACCTCTCAGTCTATGGGATGATACTCAATCCACAGAGCCACACTAGCTGGGCTTCTTTGTCTTTTATAAATTTTGTTTCAAAGTCTGTTTTGTCTGATGATTGCTACCCCAGCTTTTTGTTTGTTTGTTTGTTTCCATTTGCATGAAATATCTTTTTCCATTCCTTTGCTTTCAGACTGTGTATATCTTTCATTCTGAGGTGCATCTCTTGTAGAGAATGTGTGTGTGTGTGTGTGTGTGTATTTCCACTCTCATCATTATTATTTCCTTTCTTGTACTCATTTTAGATTTTGTTTGTTGTTCTATTTCTAGTTTCCCCAGGTATAAGGTTAGATTGTTTATCTTCCAAATGGCTGATTTGATTCTCTGCTTCATCTAACCTGCTGTTGACTCCTTCTAGTATATTCTTTATTTCAGATATTGTATTCTTCATTTATTACTGATTTTTTTCTGATATTTCTATGTCCTTTATTTATATTTACTATTTTTTTTGTTTGAGTTCTCACTGAGTTCATCCATTCTTCCCCTAAGTTCTTTGAACATCCTTGTTTTGAAAGCTGTATTTGGTAGATTGCTTGCCTCCATTTCACTTAGTTCTTTTTCTGAGGATTTCTTCTATTCTTTCATTTGGGGCATGTTTCTGTCTCCCCTTTTTGGCTACCTCTCTGTAATTATTTCTGTATATTAGGTAGATTTGCTATGCCTCCCAGTCTTGTTTTGCTGGCCTTATGTAATAGGTATTATATGGGGCTCAGTGGCACAGTCTTTCTGATCACCTGAACTAGTTCCTCCAGAAATGTTCCTTTTGTGGGTTATGTGAGCCCTCCTATTATAGCTGAGTATTGATTGCTACTGGCCCATGCATGGGTGGGGTTGACCATTAGGCTGGCTGACAATGAGGATTGACCCTGACCATAGTATATGAACTTCTATACAGGGGCTGACCCCACGTAGCAGAATTTCCCCAGCCTGCCGAGATCTCCCTTTGGGTGTGCCACTTGTGGAGCTAGCTGGGCCATGCTCTGATGTTGTCTGAACCCACCACCAGATGTGTGGGTTCTGGGGCCTCTTGGGAGGAACTCTGGTGCAGGTCAATGTCAGGCATTGCCTGTGACCAGCCCTGGGCTACGTTTCTGTAGGTACAAAGCAATGCATAGTTTGTAGCTGCCTCTCCTGGGCCTGGGTGTGAATGGGCAGAGCCGAGTTGTGCACCAAGGCTGGCTTCCGTGAGTACTAAGCCCCGGGACAGGTTAGCAAAATGCCCAAGGCACCCTGGGATCTGTCTCTGCCTGCCAACTGCTTGTTGGGTTCAGTCACTAAAAGAGACTCTGGCAGTAGGTGAGCTGCATGAGGCAGGATCTCAGTGAGTCACCAGGTAGAGCAAGTGGTATTCACCAAGTTAATGCAGATTCAAACCTGGTGCCAGTGCTGGGACTGAGACCACTCAGCAAAATCCTCAGAGTGTCCGCCCCCAGCTGGGTGCCTTTGGACCTAGTGGTGGGTCTCAGTGAGTCATCAGGGTGAGGCCAGCAGAATTCATCAGGCCCAAACAGACCAAGATTTGGCTGTGAAGGGAGAGGTCTGCACAGGAACAGTGGTGCCAGTAGGGCATGTAAGAGAAAAATGGCTCCTGACCTAGAGCCACACAGCTCAGTCTCTCCCTCCTTGGGAGCCGTCCAAGAGAGTCTGTGCCGAGGCCCCAATCTGGCCACAGCCAGCTGACTCTCCTGCAGGGCAGGCTTGGCAGGGTGGGCCCCCAGGAGCTGGGTGGGTGGTGCTAGTAGGTCTCCTGTGGGAGTCTAGCATTGGTCAGGTATGGGGGTGGGGGTGGCCACCATCACAGAGCCACCCAACTCAGTCTCCGATACCCCGAGTTTGCCCTCAAGAGCTCTCTAAGAAAGTCTACACCATGGGCCCAGGTAGCTGACTCCTCTGTAGGGTATGAGCTCAGGAGGGCAGGACAGCAACAGGAGGTGGGGAGGACTAGTTCATTGCTCCAGGCTGATGCCACATGGGGGAGAGTACTTCACCTAGCAAAAATGGCATCTGTGGGTGGTGTGGGAGAGGGACTGAGCACAGGGACCCTGGTGACTATCCCCTCAGCTCTCTCCTCAGAGCCACCCAACCCAGTCTGTCTTCACAGAACTGCAGTGTGCCCCCCCTGCCCTCTCTCTGCCAGAGTGGCCCCGAATGGGATTTTGTATGCTGGCCCTTTAACAGGGCACTTGGGTTTCGAACAGACTTCTGCCTCTTCCTGACAAACAGAATTTCCGCTGATTTTCACAGCCATGTTACAAGGGCTCCGCTTTCCAGCTCTGGTGCGTTGGCCTGGGGAGCCTGGTGCTGGGTTGAGACCTCACTCCCCTCAGGTGGGATCTTTGCAGCTGAGGTAACCCCTCTGTTTGCAGAGGCAGTTTGTGGGTGTGGGTCCAGCCCTTTTCACATCTCACCCTTCCCACCTGTCTCGATGAGGCTTCTTTTGTGACTCCTTGTTTACAAGACTTCTTTCCAGCTAATTTAGAGTTGACTATTCAGGTTGATTGTTTTATAATTTAGTTGTAATTCCAGTTTGGACCTGGGAGGAGGTCAGTGTGACTTCTACCTACCCTGTGCCATCTTGGATCCTGCGTTGATTACAGTCATTTTGGGATGATGGGTTTTTCCCCCAAAGAGTAATTTTTGTTGGAAATAAATTAATTGAGATGAATTTATTTAGGGCACACATGGTAATCAGCCTACATTGGCCATAAACAGAGTTGTGAGGGATAAACTATGTTTCAGCACCTCCTCACTAGGACCAATGCCTAGTGCAATTCAGCCCAGGAGGTAGGGTGTAACCATTGCCTTTCCCAAATATGGCCAGAGACCCAGGCTTCAGACCTGAACATCTTCCCATTTTTTTCCTGTTGAAATTTAGCAGTCCTTTGTCTATACTTCAAGCATTTGCTTCCCCTGAGGTTGACCCCTCAAGGTCATGGCTTCATGTGTTGCTGGACCTAGAGTCACTCATCTCATACATGTGCGGGTCGGATGGAGATCGATGTCAGAGAAAGGACCGTTGCCTTGTTCGCTAGTCCTTTTGTGATACAATCCAGTGCAATTGGACAGGCATCTGGAGACCTGAAATGTGTACTCTTGTCCTCTGTCAAATGGGACAGTCATATCTGCCCCTCGTTTCTTGCCTTGTTTCAAAAATAAATGTAACAGTTGAATTCAGACCATTCAAACTTATTGACTCCCTACTGGGTCTGTAGATTTGAAAGTGTGAAAAAGCACTTTCGATCTCCCAAGAGAAAGGTGGTTTATCCGAGATGTTATTTTAATAGCAAAGTTTGTCATGGCTCAGAACGGAGTGCTATCAAACGTTAATGGAACTGGAAAAATACAAATAAATCTTGCTTGGCAAGAAAAATAAAGTCACTGGCTCAGAAACCCTCACACAGCATGAGAGAGTGATATTTCACAGTCTGGTGATATTTCAGGCTATTTACCCATGATTACCCTACTGGTCACTGACAGCTGTGTGAATGGAGTTTTAATCTTCTGTCCTGCGGTGTGGTCATCCAGTTCCAAGACATGAGAGAATAGTATGACTTTTGTGATATGGTAGAGAGAGGAAGACGGAGGGAACAGTTTCCTGAAAACTTATTACCACCTTTACCTGGGACTTGGGTTTGAGATTTCCTTCTAGTTATTTCCATTGTTTGACTTACTAGGGAATCAAATAAGAGAATGCTGACTCTTGAGATCATTTCTTATACCATCACTCATCATCTCAGATCTCTTAAGGACCTTGACCACGAGGTTTTACCTCAAAGCTGAGTTCTCTGAACACCTATTAGCTGCATCACCCCGCATAAGACACTTAACACCCTGAGCCTTAGTTTGATGGTCCCTGAAACAGGGATACGCGTGGTGCTTGCCCTGGCCGGCTCACTGGGTCCATAACACTCAGCGTCAGTGACTTCTCTTCAAAGACAGTCTGTTTTTGCCAATTTCCATTTCTCTTGAGCAGTCTCCCGCTTCCTCAGAGTGCCCAGAAAGAATAGGAGCTTTGGTAGGAAATGTAGAGCTATCAGAACTGGCCCAGTTGCGGGCATGAGGGCCACCACACCATGAGTTCTCAGGAGGGGGACTGAAACCCTCTCCCCCGGGGGAGGAAGAGCCGGCAGCCGAGGTCTGGGTCTCCAGGGCACTTCCACCACTGCAGCCTCATCTGCTTCAACCTCATAACTGAGAACCAGTGAAGCAGGCTTGCACCACTTCCACAGGTCCCCTCCGTGCCCTTGGGGTTGGACCCCAGCCCCTAGCTCATTCAGAGCGGGCTCCTGTAACCTGGAGACCACACAGACACCAGGGCTCGCTCCTGCTGCTCCCCACCCCTGATCTGAGCAGGAGGAGGGGTTAGGTGCGAGACAGCGGGAGTAAAACCCAGAGTCTCACCTTGGCAGATTCATACTCAGCAACGGGAAGTCTGCCTTTGGTACGTGGTGGGTGTCCTCTGCCTCAGATAGGGATGGCTTGGCACCCGCAAGGGGGAAGAAGGAGGTTGGGGAGTGGATCTGGTTGTGGAGAACTAGGGGTGGTATAAACAAAGGGAAAGGATAGGGACAGATGCATGCATGGGCCTTTGTTTTAGCGCCCTGTCTGCTCTACCTAATGCGTTCTGCTCATCTTTTCCAGCAGCAGTGTCCTTGTTAAACGGATGTTCAGGCCCATGGAGGAGGAGTTTGGTCCAACACCTTCCAAGCAAATCAAAGAAGAAGGAATGAAGCGAGGTATCTTTCCCATCGGGGCCTTCCACTGGCGTGGTTGAAAAACCCATCCTCCCGTGATGATGGGTGGGGAGGGAGGTTGGGGGGAGGCGGGGATGGGGGTGAGGTTGACCAAGAAGAGCACATGGCTCAGTCCGCACCACAGGGGTGCGGCCTGGGGATTTTTATTGACATGGGAAGTTCACAGTCTCCTCCTTTGCTTAAAAGTCTATGTTTTAAAAACACTTTAAGCAAATGTTTATTCTTCGTGGGCATGGTTCTTTCCTTTGCCTATAAGAACTGTAATGAATATACTGACTCATCGTGCAGTAAGGTATAAAGTTAAAAAGAAACTCTTGCTGTGTATGTGACAATAACATAAGCACCAGCAACAAGAACTGTTCAATAGATGCACACGGTTAATCTCACACAGATAAATGAACCTATTTTCTGTGACATCACAATTTACTCATTTTCTCTCAGTCAAGGGTCTTATTCTATTTCACCAAGAAAATAAGAGACAAAGTACAAGCATCACAGTGTCTTGCTCAGCATTTGGGGCTGTTCACGACTCGCTGTCCTTCCTCAGAATAAGAGGACATTGTTGGGGTAGCAGTTCCAGCACATTTTGCTGTAGCTAACACCGGAAGCTTCCAGAGACCTTCAACTTTTATTTATTTAAATATATTTTTATGGATTTTTTTTTTTAAGAGAGAAATAGAAACATCGATGTGAGATAGATACATCGATCAGCTGTCTCTTGCACGCCCCCTTCTGAGGATTGAGCCCAAAACCCAGTCATGTACCCTGACTGGGAATCGAACTGGGACCTCTCAGTCCATGGAACAAGGCTCAATCCACTGAGCCACAGTGGCTGGGCAGAGACCTTCAACTTTTAAGGAGTCAGATTACCATGTTAAATATATTCACTTTCTACATAGGCTTGAGTTTTTTTGTTACTGAGAAAAAAAAGTTGTTGTTTTTTCCTATTTGCTGAAATGGGATTTACATAATGATCAAGAGCATGCTCTCTGTAGCCTCCCTCAGCCCTGTAGAGCGAGATGACCTTGGAAAGGTCGCCTACTTTTTAAGAGTCCTCATTTGCAAAATGGGGATGACTAGAATGCCTACTTTATAGAGTCACTGTGGGGACTGATGAGTGAATGTATATAAAACACTTAACTCAGGTACCTGATACATAGTAAGCACTTGTGTTCACTATTTTAACTACCCGTATTTTGATTTGGCCTGGATCTACTTAAGCTATAGTATAATTGTGAATAAGTAATTAGTGTTTCAAAATGGAAAGATCATACATGTCTGGAGAGTGTTAGTTACATTAGCAACCTTAAAGGTTTAAAAGATTTTCTGACATCACAGGCTCACCATCAAATATTCGAGTGCATTTTGAGCTCTGTTTCTGCCTGCCTTTTGTATCTCATACTTTAGAATGAGGACAGAGCTATATGGAAAAGAATTACACAGGCAAAATTAACTGTGTCTTGCGTTCATTTTTAGTGCCTGCTGGCTTGTCCAAAGGTTGTGCTTTTCATATTATTTTGAGATCGCGAAAAGTCAGGACAAAAATTGCCACTAGGAGTTGTATTGGCCTATGATGGAAAGCAAGTATCTGGCCTTTGAAACATCTAAATCATAGGGACACATGAGGGCGCTGCAGCCTACCAGCGACAGAGAAAGTGTTCTCCCAGGAGTTGCTTTCCTTTGGAAAAGAACTGTGGTGTTACTGAGCCCCGCACCTGGAGCTCCCAGTCTGAGCTGGTCTTCGGCCAGCACAAGGAATCGGCAAGTGCCAGTCCCTTTGTTGATTTGTTAGACGTTCTCCAGGAGAGGAAGTGAGCAGAATTATCACCAATGTCATTATTTGTTGGTTTGCCTTTCTATCCACTTCTCAGGGGGGTTCGGTTTAGAATCACTGGGGGCTGCCCCTGTGGCCACCTGCCTTTGCACCGAGTCTGGCCTGGCTGGTGGCTGTGACTGCTGTCGGCAGCAGTGATTCTTAGGGTGCTCTGCCGTGGACTCCCCGGGCACCTGTGGGGTGCTGTGAGCCCAGCAGGAGAATGGTGGCACTGCCCTTGGTGGGGACAATCCCAAAGTCTGTCAGCGTGCCACCATGCCACCTTTCATCTTTTCTGAAGCCCTAGTATTTCAAAGACAATAATTTTAAAAGATCTGTAAATCCAGGGGAAGCAGTACTCGTGTTAATAGAACGTGGTTTGGGGTTCTAACTTAGAATGAGACCGTTGAAAGTAGATTTCCCTGCTGGGGGCAGGAGTTACAGAATGTCTGTCTGTCATAACCACTGGCGAGAGGTTTTATTGCTTCTCTGTTTTCTTAGTCATTTTTACTTCAATTTTTCTCATCTAGTGGTAGTTGAGGCCCTGTCGTCTAACGGTTCCTCGTTGTACTGCTGAGGCTGGGTCCCCTTGCAGTGCCACTGGGTCACTAGATCACTTTAGCGGAAATGAAGACTCTACGACAAAATTTGGAAATCTCTGGAGACACATTCAGTCTATTTATTTCATTGGCATTTTGTTTTCATACCAGGTAAAGGGAAGAAACGGCAGCACTGCGGGTGCTCTGTTTTCATCCTACACAGGCTGAGCATCTGCTGGCTGCAGAAAGAAAGCCGGGCAGAACCCCTCTGCACCCCGGCAGGCTTTGCCTTTGTGAGCAGCAGCTGCAATGACGTCCTTGGAGGTGGGGGAGGGGGAGATGCGGGAGTTTGGGCTGGAGCTGATTTCCGGCTCCAACTTCATTCCTCCCGGTTGGCGGTGACTGTCCCTGAAGTGGTGTCTGGCTGTTGTCGGGGTCCAGGGCTCCAGCTCGGCAGGGCTGCTTGCCTGTGTGCGCTGCAGTGGCCAGGTGCACGGGGCTTCGGTCTTGGCCCTCTTCCTTCTCCCTCGAGCAGGCACCAGAAGCCATGTCACTGGGAGTGAGAGAGAAACGAGTCAGCTCACGGGGGCTGCAGGGTTGCATCTGAATGGCAGTTCCCAGTTTCTGGGCGCTGAGCCCCAGTGCCGTCGCTGTCAGAAAGGGGACATAACAGCAGAGTGTCTTCGCCTCTAACCATACCTGGAGTCCCTGTCATCTCACTTTCTGCACATTGTCAGATTCAGAAGGTTTGGTACAGAGAAACGGACAGAAAACTGCTTCATAAGAGCATTCACCGAGGTGGGTGCGTGCCGTGTGCCCCGCTCGGTGCTAAGCGTCGCACGTGGAGGGTATTTCATTTAACCCTCATGGTAGAAATGATTATTATCCCTCTTTTACAGAGAAACCCAAAGCTTGGAGAGGTTAAATGACCAGGGCCCACAGCAGGCCGGACTGGGGTTAGAGCCAGACCCGCTGTACTCTTAGGAACTTGCATGTGTAACGCACACCTCCCTCCTGGGCCTTGGCCCGAGCTGCTCCGTCTGCCGGGGTTTGCTCTCCCTGTCCTCCTCCTCGCCCTGCCCTCCCCACCTCCCTTGCCTCCCTATACACTCTTCAGAAATCAGACCTCTCCTTCAAGATAACCTCACCCCCCTGAAAAGCTCAGGCCCCTATAAGCCTGGCCTCCTGTCTTTTTCCATCATGGCTCTGTGACTGTCCCGTTGTCTGCTTATTGGAGAAGTGCCCGCCAAGTGGACTGCGGAGCTGAGGGCGGGCTGTGTCTTCCCTCACTGCTGCAACCTCAGCTCCTAGCACTCGGCTTGGGACCTAGGAGCCCAGACGGCAATTCGGTAGTATCTGTTGAGTGATCAAACCAATCAATAGAAGACAGAGGTCGTGGAAAGAGATGTCCGGAAGAGATTGTGTGCCACCGTGAGAAATTCAAACGTGCACAGTGTGTGAAACAGCCTGCTGGGTGTTGGTGCCCACCTGTCCGTTTACGTCATCGCTCACTCCTCAGCAGGCCCTGGTCGCAGGTGGCTGTGGATGGGCCTCATCACTCTCGTAGGATGTCACCTGGCTCGGGGTCCGAGGCTTATTAGTAGATAATATCAGTGTCCCACACCTGTGTGACAGGAAGCAGCTTCCTGTGGGGGCTGTGGGCTCCTCAGTCACGCGCCCCCTCCTTCTTTTTCAGTGCTTCTGTACGTGAGGAAGGAGACTGATGACGTGTTCGATGCCTTGATGCTGAAATCCCCCACGGTGAAGGGCCTGATGGAAGCGGTAAGCCGTGAACCCCTTTCAGGAAACCCGCTCTTGTGCTCTTGAGCTGGGATCCGCTTGCTTATTACACTGCGGCCTTTGAGATGGTCCGGAAGGAGCTTTGCGGAGAAGAAAAGGTGGAGATTTATGGAGACACTGATTTCCATACTGTCAGGGCTTATTAGCATCTTAAGGAGAAGGAAACTTTGAAAAACTGCCAAGTCCGGTCCGTCTGAGGCCAATCAGAGTAAGATGCCCCAGAGGAAGGTTAAACTGTGAGTTTCTCTCTCTTTTTATTTTTAACTGGGAGTTTCCATGTGTCTCTTTGCATTAAACCAAATTTGATATGTTTAACTTCCAAATAGGCACAGAACAAAAACAATTAGGAAGCGTCTTGCTAGCTGTGATAGTGTAATCCAAAACGAAAACATGACCGCTTTTGGTTAAGAGAAAACCATATTACAGAATTCTGAAGTAAGGTTCTAAGTTCTTTCACCCCTTCTCATCCCCAATTTAGTCTACCTGGGCTCAGGAAATGTTATTTTGTATTTTATCCATATATTTATCTGAATATGACTTTAATCTGACTCTACTTTGAATGACTTCTAACTCCTTCTCACCACCGCGCGCCACCCCCCCCCATACAACTGTGTTGTAGAAGTTTCAGGTTATTTCATACTGATGGAGACAACAGGATGGCCAAGGGACAGTCCCAAATCATTTGTTCGTGAGAAAAACAGCTACATTGGAAACAGCATTTTGGATTATGGGCCGAAATGTTAAAATGTATAGGAGAGTGCCTATCTGTAGAATCACAATTCGTGGTCTTTTGTGGCTTGTTTATTTCAGCCACATTTCAGCATGTTTTGGAGGTTCATCCATGTTGTAGTATAATTAGTGCTTCATTTCTTTTTATGGTTGAATAACAGTCTATTTTGTGAATAGACCATGTTGTGGTTTTCCATTCATCAGTTGATAGACATTTGGATTTTCCCACCTCTGGCTATTGTGAATAGTACTGCTATGAACACCCACGTACAAGTCTTTGTCTGAACCCTTGTTTTCAGTTCCTTTGGGTGTATACCTAGGAGTGGAATTGCAGCCTGACCAAAAAGGTCACGTATTATATGATTCAATTTATAGCAATGATCAAGAAGAGGCAAATCCATAGAAATAGGAAGCAGATTAGTGGTCGCCAGGAGCTGGGTGAAGGAGTAATAAGAAGTCTCTGCTTAATGGGTCTCCTTTTGGGGTGATGACACGTTCTGGAAAGTCCTGCTGCCTGCGGAACACTGCGAATGTGCTAAATGCCGCTGCATTGTGCGCTTTAAAGTGGTAAAAATGGCACATAGTGTGATGTGTGAAAAAAGTTCACCATTGCCTGGCTGGTTTGGCTCAGCAGTTAGAGCACTGGCCCTGGGACCGACGAGTCACGGGTCTGGTTCCAGTTAAGGGCATGTACCTTGGTTGTGACTCGGTCCCCGGCCCTGGTTGGGGTCATGCCGGAGGCAATCAATCCATGTGTCTCTCTCACATTGATTACGTTTCTCTCTCTTGCTCTCTCTCTCTCTCTTCTTCGCTCTCTCTCTTCCTCCCTCCCTCCCTCCCACTCTATCTGATGTTAAATGGAGAAATATCCTCTAGTGAAGATTTAAAAAAAAATTCACTGTTTATAGAAGTATTTATTTTAAAACCAGAGGAGAACCACCAGGGTGGAGTTCTCGCTGCCCCCCGTGGTCGGCATTGTTGACAAGTTACTAGGCATTTCCGAGTGAGGACCACCCTCTAAGAAACTCCGATACAAGGCTTGATAAACTTTTCTACAGGATTCCAATGGAATGGAGTTCATTGTTACAGAACCTGCTGTGTCTGAAGGAAAAACAAAATAGAAATGAACACAACAAAAAATGACCTATATCTCTTCCAATGAATCAAGATTTTTATTTTATTATTATTATATTTAAATCCTCACCTGAGGGTATTTTTCCTCTTATCTTCAGATAGGGTGGGGGTGAGAGAGAGAGAGAGAAACATCATCAGTGTGAGAGAGACACATTGACTGGTTGCCTCCTGCACGACCCCAACCAGGTCCGGGGACTGAACTGTAACCGAGGTGCGTGCCCTTGACCAGAATCAAACCGGCTACTCTTTGGTCGGTGGGCCAGTGCTCCAACCGTTGAGCCCAACTGGCCAGGGCTGAACCAGGATTTTTAAAAATGACCCTAAAATTGCCACAGGTAAATTTATGAGCTAGAGAAGCCTATAAAATATTCAGACCTGTCTGGGGATTTTTGGACAAATCCCGGCCTTTAAGATCATATTACTGAAAGTGACTTAACTAGGATGGTGGTAAATATGAAAATTAATGAAGCAGTTGTCTTAAATGCATATCCCCAGACTTTAACTCCTGACCTGATTCTACTAAATCGCTGGTGGAATGGTGGTGGCCGGTCAAGAACCTATGTCTTTAACAAGCTCCTCATACTCAGATCAGTCGGGTATGAGAACCACTGATCTGAGCTGATTCATTAAGCTGTGATTCATTACCCTTTTCCTTGATGTCTTCCTTTCCCCTCCTCGACATCTGGCCAGTTCTACAGTGTTCTGTAGCTGTGGTCTCGCTGAACCACTGTGAGGTTAGATGCCGCCTTTACTACCATCCAAATCTCCACAGGTAACCTCTGCTATGCTCCCCAGCACAGCAGAGTGGGCCTTTGGACCCCTCTTAGGGGTCGTTATGCCTTCCTCGCTCTGCTTAGCTGGGGCGTGGTGGGGAGAAATGTGTAGTATTGGTTGACCTTGTAAGCCATGGACAGTTCAGATTCCAGGCTGGTTCTGGTCCAATATCTTAGAGCCATTCTGACCCCCTCTCTCCTTTATTAAACCTGAAGAAGAAAAGTGTGATTCAAGCACCCGTGCAAGCTGCCTCCTTGCTTTCGAAGTTGTGCAGATGGGGAAGCGGGGCCAGAGGGGCTCCTCCAGGACCCTCGGGTGATGGGTCTGGGCGTGAACTCCGAAGGCAGGCCGCCAGCAGGCCGTGCAGTTTGGGGGTGGCCGTGAAGGACAACAGCGTCTCTTTAAGTGAACACTTGAACACCCTGTGTAGTGAGAAGGCAGACTTTTGAAGAAAATTGGATCCTGCTCACTGTAGTTGCACCCTAAGTTTAGTTGGGGGGCCCAGGTGGAGTAAGAAAGCACTGTCTCTGGGGTATGGGTTCTCTGAGGACCAGCACCTCACTAGCGTGTGACATTTTAGCATCCTGACACACACGACATACACGTAGAAGCAGGGTGGCCTAGTGGGTCGGCGCTGGAGTTAGGGCTCAGAAACTGCCCTCGCTTCCTGACTGCTTCCTGCTGGCTGGGCAAGCTTCTCCCCTCTTCCTCCTGGAAATGGGACCGAGAGCAGCGCCTGCCTCCCAGGGCTGACAGGATGGACGAGGCACCACACATGGAAAGCCCCGCCTGACTCCCAAGTGCCCGATCAAGGTCAGCTTCGGTCGCTGAACCATTGTTTTGAGGAGGAGTCACAGCAGAAAAGTCACAGAGTGAACGTGTCCTCGGATTTTGGATTTCTCAAATGATCAGCAGATCTTGTCCAAAAGATAGAAAGTTATTTTCGCTCAGGATTCCACCATGTAATTTTCCACTCAGCTGGCACCGCAGGGGGGGCGTGGAGCGGTGGAAATGGTACAGGTGACTGGGCGTGAGGCTCTGGAGAGACCCCGCCGGGCCCAGAGATGACACTGCCCCCAAGACATGGTCTTTGTGCTCCAGAGTCCAAGGCCCCACACTAAACAAAGCCTCAAAACAAGAAGGCAATGTAGCCCTGGCCAGTTTGGCTCAGCGGTTAGAGCGTTGACCTGCGGCCCGGAGAGACCCGGGTTTGGTTCCCGCTAAGGGCATGTACCTCGGTTGCAGTTTGTCCCCAGCCCTGGTTGGGTCGTGAGGGTGGCAACCACTCGATGTGTCCCTTCGCGTCGATGTTTCTCTCTCTCTCTCTTCCTCCCACTCTATCTGAACAAAATATCAAAAAATGTCCTCGGGTGAGGACTAAAAAAAAAAAAAAAGAAGGCAATGTAACTCACCTCCATGCTTTGCTATCGCTCTTAATTTTAAAGTAATGTCACGTGTGGGGTTTTCTATTTTTTAACAACTAAAAGCTACATTTTTTTTTTAATGGCTAACTTTTAAGGAAATCAAGAGATATTATACTTGACCTGAGCGATCACTTTGAACCCTGTCACTGGTTGAAAAGGACTCCCCATAACAACACAATCCCTACTCACTGTGGCCCTAGCATGTATGCGGGCCTGGGGTAGTGGGCCTGGGGTATTGCTTCTGGAAGTGGGAGATTCCACTGCAGCCTCCTAGGGTACTTTTCAGTAGTGCCATCCGGAAGCCCCACGCCCGACCATCACAGTCATGCTCTCTGGGGGCAGGCCCAGGTCTCAGCATCGGTAACAAGCCCCCTGGCTGACCCTGATGCACACTAAAGCTTGGTGTACCCTGGCTGAGAATTCATATTAGGGTGTGATTCTACCCTAAGGCCCTATGTGCATATTCACTCAATGGGAATACCCCCCTGCGCACACACACACACACACACACACAGCCCAATTATATTCTTTTGTGGTCAAAGTTACTGCAACAATAGTTTTAAGCAGGGGAGTGGCCCTGTAGGCACAGCCCCACTCCTATGGGCTTTGGAATTGGCTTGGGTCTGGGCTATGTCCTTCATCTTTCACCACTGGTGTGGGAGGACCAAATATTTTCTCTGCAGAGGAGGGTACTCATAGTCTTCCAGGGACAGCAGACCTCACAACTCCAATGTGAAAGTCGTGTGTGTGTGCGTGTGTGTGTCTTGTCATTGTTTTTGATAAAGGAACACCTGCTTCATATCAGTATTCACATTGTTTTATTCCCTTCCTTGAAATGCAGTTTGAAAGGTTGGTTGTGCCTTGACTTTCTCATCTGTAAAATGGAGTCATCGAGAGCATCAATGAGTTAACACGCACTCA